TACGCAACTTGCATGGATAACCTAAAAATACAAAACAACAACTAATAAGTATTATAACTTGCATGAATAACCTAAAGAGGCACAATAACCTTTTTGTGATATCGACGAAAACGTATGGAGTTACGTAACAATAATCAGTTATCTTTTTGTGATCCATATTCTGACGATCCGAATTCAACACAGATCTTAATCCGCGAGCATAAGCCTGGTTATCAAAACCTATGGTCAAAAAAATCTTTAGAATCGTTAAAAAAGTAGAGAGCATATATATTATTATTAATTTGAGGATAGCTAGATATATACCCGAAGCAGTAGACGAAACTTCCCAAGTGATGATGACTTTAGATGGATGATCAAAGCTGTACTTAGACGAACACATAGTTAGGTTTGCATGCAAATAGACAAACATGATTAATCTTTTCTAAAGAGATCCAGAAAAACTAAACTGTAAATTATGAGACGATTGGATGAAAACACTCATATTTATACGTCTAAACAACCTAGGGTTTATTTTCTTGTGAAAAATACTAAAAGGTAATTCTTGTTTTATATACGATATTATCTTCCCATGAATTTCGTAGTTATTAATTATTAAAAATGTAAAGATTCCATTCTAGATAATAACAAAGGAAATTTATGACATATTTCCATTTGCAAAATATTTAACAAATAAAAATTATTTCCAAACATCGAATTGTATTAAAAATCTAAAAATTAAAAAAAAAAAAACCACACGATTCGAACCCGTGAGCATTAGCTAAATGGACAAAGCACATAAGCAACACAGCTACCATCTCATTCAGCATAAACGACATATTGGAAGGTATGTATAATGTTTCTGTATTTAAAAATTTAGATGTTGGGCAACGTTATTCGGCAGCTAGAAATACGGCCCATGTTTCATTTTTAAAAAATATGCTTAGCATTTAATATATAGTTTAATAAGCATTTAATTTATGGTTTAAATGATAAAAAATAGTTGATCAACCAATCAAATTATAACGTGAGATGACCAATCAGAATCCATGATTTTCATTAATCAAAACGATACAAAAATCTGTGCGTTAAACCACAGCACGATTCACTTCTTAAATACTATAATAGTTGCTTCCTAAAACATTAGATATGCTTTGTAAACCTTTTAAAGTTTCTAGAGGTTGAAAAACTTTCTAATAAAACCATCAAAAAATCCTTCAAAAAACATTTATCAAACTTTAGAAGGTCTTCTTAAATAAATATTTATTAGAGGTTTACAAAGCATTCCTATTGTTTTCGAAAACTTTTCTAAACAAAAAAAAACAGAACAAAAACAAAAGGTCTATCAACAAGCAGATGTTTAAAAAAGTACAGAAAAAGTACAGAAAATGTTGAAGAGACGAATATGAAAGCATTAGTAAAACATTAGGAATGTTGATAAGGATGACATCGGAAGGTGTTCATAAATTTGAGCAATACTTCCTAAATATTCCGAAATAGAGAAGAACGAACCAGATTATTTACTAAGTTGTTGAATGCTCGTAAAGGAACTCATGTTAGCTAAACATGTAAAGATTGAAACTCATTTTTAGAGATCATTTAGCTTCAAACACATAAAAAAATAAGACGTGTCAAGATGAGGCATAGAACTAACAAGAAGTATCGATGCTCCAAAAATTTAGACCAAAGAAGCTAAATTACTTCCAGAAACATAATCACAAAATGAACATGGAAATACAAATATCCACCCAATATTTCCAAGCCAACATATATCTTTTCTTAAACTATGAATGCCTTCCCAAACATTAGAATTCATTCCTGAAATTTTAATAAGCTTCCTAAATCGTTTGATTCACTTCTTCATGAACCTCTCTGCACAGATTTTTACTACAAAAGAGAAGATCAGTAAGAGATATATGTTAATTCACTTGATTTTTTTTTTTTGTAGTGATAACGATGAGCTTGCTTCCTTCTCTCCCTCTTTGTGCTATGTATCCGACATATGAATAATGGAGAAAAGGAGACAAAAATTTAATTTGCTTGAACATATGCACGTGGACTTATCAGTTTTCCCAATTGCACGTCCAAGTCCAGCAAATTTGGTACTAAACAGAGAACCATTGTTTTCTCCATCTGCTTTTAAATCTTCAGGTGGTGCTGAAATGGAATTGTTGCAGGTAGTTGATGGTTGTAAATCTTCTTCATGTTCAATTCCTTTCCTGAAGAAATTCTCATAGTTATTACTATTCTACTTATTCATATGAAAGCTCTGCCCTTGTAAGCTTTTCATATAAAAGAGCCTTTTTCTCCAACGCAGCGTAACTAACAGCTCCATCTTTAACTGCTTTAAGCTCAAGTTTGTCCTTTCATTTCCCACACACAAAAGAACCGTCATAGTTAGAACCAAAAGAAGTAAAATCACAAGAGATAATTAAACAACAAAATTTGTCCTAATGAATGCCTATATTGGTGATCCTATCCTATCATCCTAAATGATTTTTGACCACATCCTAAATTCATATAACACAGTAAAATTTAGATTCTCCTACAGCGTAACATAATCGTGGTTCCTCGATTTTCGCGAAATCCCGAAATTCACGCGCCTCATTGAAGACAGGGAGCGAAACGTCCGGGAATGCGAATCGATTGCGGTTACCGATCTCAGTTTGTGACTTACTTTGAATCAAATGAGTTCGACTAAAAGCCACTTCCTTTCATCGAACTGAGGGGGGGGGGGGCTAACTGTTGGAGGTGAAAACCGCACCCTGGTTTTCTCCGGTACAAACCGAGATTGGCGTAACGTAAGCTCGGTTCACGAAGAAATGTACCGGGAAGACTGGGCCGAATCAAATCTTGGGCCGAACACAGCCCATTGAGCCGAGGTCGGCGGGAAGCTTCTCGAAGGAACCGAGAAGTTCCCCGAGTTCGGTCGAAAATAGGAAATTTTCTAAGAGAAAAGGGAAACTACTATGACAAAAGGAAAAGGACCGAGAGAAAAGGAAAGTCCTCTCGGTCCCATATCGCCGAAGATGCACTTGATGACCGACTCAGAAGATATATATAAAGGAAGAGGAATCGACACCAGAGAACACAAGATATTCTAGAGAAGACTTAGAAACTGAGAACTCATCGCTTTAGATTCTTAGTTTCATAAAGTCTTAGTTCGTTATTCTTTACTTAATAACCGAACTCAGTTGTATACTCTCGATTCGATCTAATAAAACCCGAGTTTACCGATCTAAAGTACTGTTTTACCCCTTGTCGATATTCACATATCAACAGGAGTTGATAGCCGGTCCGTCTGGTTCCCCAAAGGAAAGACGGGATTGAAGTCTCACAACAAAATTTTCGAAACACCCCAAGCTTTTTCAGTGATCATCTTATTTAAAATCCCAACCAATCAAATTAAAACATTAATACACATAAACATCCCTCTTGTCGCAACATTAGATAACAAAATGGGAATAAAAATAAAGCTTTGAAATGCATAATTGACTCATCAGAAACCTATTATTCTACAGATTAATGAACACTGATTTCTTGGGGTTCCAAAGCGTTTCCTGCATTGTCGTATGATCTCCCTTCTTTTTCTGCCCTAAAGTTTGTTTTAAACAACTTTGTCGACTGATGGAATATCCCACATGTTGAGAAAGACTTAAATCTGCCCCAAAAACGAACTCTCAAAATATTATCTCTCTTGTTGGTGTTTTAGTAGTGGTTTATTTTTGTTTTGAGGATGTACAAATAATGGTATAGGAATGTAAGAGTTTTATGCGGAAGCGTTTAAACCGAACTCATACTTTTGCCCAGCGATGAATATGATTTGGTATGATCAAGCAAACGAACGCAGAAAATGGAGACGAGATCACAGATGAAAATCAACCACTTATCACCATTCAAATGTTCTTTCAATTGATCTCTCCAAGTTTTCTCTCTCTAAAATCATTTTCTCTCTCCTCTATAACTTTTTTGTTTACCAATAGTCACCAACTGTTGTAAACATACACATTCTTCTCTATGCAATATCTCATATATATTTAATGAAGAGACACAATCTGTAGAGTCACAACTCTTCTTTGAACAAATTTTTCATATCTGTTGGTTTTATCAAACTGGTTCGGTATGCTACCAAATCATAAGCGCATACCAACCATAAACCAATAAGGAAGATGAGTGGTCAAAACCCATGGGCAATGTGAAACACCAATGACTCAATAAGGGCACAGTAGCTCTATAAAGTATAAACTTGTACACTTAGTTTTCCTAACAGAGTTCTCAATAATAAATTGGTTTAACATTTTGTCCTTTTTCCTTGAAAAAGTATTTTAGGCAATTCTTGTGACCGAAAGTGATGTGATACACATCAAGAAGCAAGATGTTTCTATCCTTGTGGTGTATAATGGTTCGGAGTATGTCCGTAGAAAAGGGTTGAAAGAGAAAAATTTGACATGTATCAGGTCAAACGCAAGAAAAATGAAACTTCATGCAATGCTTCAAGCTTGGATTACATCCACGATGCGGTGTCACTTTCTGACTTCGTGGACATGTTTTTGAACCAAAGCCGATAAGGAATACAATGAGACAATTTAATCCAACTTGGTTTGATGAATACTCTGACTGTTTAGAATATAGTGTGAAAAAATTGATAATTTTTGTTATTTTTCTATCATTTGTTGAGAGATAATGCCAGTAATATGTAAATAATGTTTTGTTTGATATCATTTCCTGATATTATCATCATAATCGATGGGCATGCGTAATTTTGTTCAATGTGCTAAAGTAAAATATTAACACATCAATAATCTTCATAATCTTTAGATCTTCTTTATTTTCATAATTTTTAATCTCGACTGTTCCATTTTGATTGATCTCATCGATCTCCAAACACACGTCATCGAATTATGTACAATTCTTAATCATCATTGCCACTTGCTGCAGTATCTCTACTTTTCTATCATTATCGATCTTTTACTTCTTTCTGGCTTCCTGCTTTGTTGTCTTCCCATTTTTCGTATATCAAATAAACAGACATTTCGTTTTTACAGATTGCACCACAAACTGTTAGTGTATTTTTAGTTTTTTCTATATCAATAGGATTACATCAATACTACGTATAAAAGTATAAAGTTGTTAACTATTGAAGGTTGACCCATCTCCACGAGATAGCGTAAGAATCCGATACTTAAAAAAAATACAAAATTTAAACTGGAGACTATCAGAAGTGATCCTTCCTGCTACTTACAAGATCGCTAACGAGCTCATTCTCATCTTCACACTGTTCTAGCAGAGGTTTGTACGACGGATTGTGATCCACTACTACTCGTAAAATCTTTGCAGCTTCATGACTCTGCCCTTCCTTGTACAAAGCGCTGCAGTAACAAAGTAGAACCAAACCTTTATCACATCTCTCACACATTCAGTGGTGTATAAATGCTTCTGACCTATTTTTCCTAAACTCTCTATTGTGACTGTTCTGCTGTAAAAGTAGTACCTTGAAAGAAGCAGCAATGCTTCAAAGTAATGCTCTTTACTTTTAGGATCACCAGGTTCTTTCAGTTTAGCTACTCTTTCCAAGTGTGTGATTCCGCTTTTCATATTCCCCTGCCAGAAGACCAGAACGGTTAGACACCAAATGTCAATACACAGATTCAAAAATCGATTTTCAGAACAAAGATAAAGATTTTCGTATCGGAACTTAGCTAAAGATCATAACATGCAAATAAGCCATAACTGACTAAAGATTTTTCAGCTTGGTTTGGTAGTTCCTACAATGAATGATTCATGACCTGAGGCACTTTCATGATTATCATTCTCAGAAATAATGATTGGTCGAACCTGCTGTACGTATGCAGCACCAGCCCATTGAGATACAAGCATTAAAAGTTCAACATCCTCAGCATCAGATGCAGCCCCATCAAGAAGCTGACGAAGAAACAAAAGAATAGTGCTGCTTAGTAAAAGAGTCCTAAGCACCTAATCGTACAACACAGTCAATAAGCAGAAGGAAATTTCTTACCTTGGAGATAGCAAGCTCTAAAAATTCAGTAGCTTCCGACAACTGCGTCTTCTGCAACAAAGTCTGTCCCATGAGAACCAAACCTCTTACATATCCAGGATCTTTCTCAAGGGCTAATCTGAAAAGAACAATACTCATGCAGTGAACATGGCTAAGTTCATATAGGTAAAAAAACTTCAAGACCAAGAGGAAAGTCTTTGCAAATACACACCGAAGTAACTGAACGGTTGTTTCTTTATCACCTTTCGACAAGACCTGAACTGAAAACTGAAACGAAATCTACTTTAGGAATAAATGAAACATACGAATGATCTATAGGTATCTCATTTTAGACTACTTACAGAAAGAAGTTCTTCTGGTGTTAAAGTCTGTAGAGAAAGGGTATGCTCTTTTAACTCAGAGTCGACATACTTAATCACAGATTCACTGATCTCCATGGAATGCTCAACGCCCGGAGAGGGCCCCTGACTCAGTAAACCAAGTTTTGCTGATACCGTAGGGTGCTTGAGAGATAATTGCTGCAGAGTTTAAATTTATCGGTGAAGAATTACCCAAAGTCAATTCTGTACAAGCCACCGATACAGTTGCTAAAACAGTTCTCTTTTTCACTAAGAATCTTTAAAATCATAACGTAAATCACTGGTGAACTCACTAACACAACTTGTCTTTTAAAGTTTTGAAACTATCATATTTGACAAGTGCAGTCACTAAACGCATGTCATCAACATAGTTGCATCAATTCTGACACAGCAAATTACCTATCAGTCCATTTTAACATTTTAGTTCATTGTTTGATTTTCAGTTGCAGAAAACAACATATAAGCATGAGAAGAGAAAAAAAAAATCAAGTTTTTATCGACTTTGTCTGCATCGAAAGCATATTAACACCATTCCGATTCCTCAATGCTGGGAAGATAGCATACCTGGAGTATATTTACAGAACTGTTGGTTACCCAATAAACAAGACTTCCCTGAAAAAAAATCAGAATGGTTTTTAAAATATTGTGGCAAGAAAAGCAGAATAATTATTTCCGGTTTGATAGACATATAACTTAGCAATAGTAACACGAGAAGCAAAAATGAAGGAAAATTCAGTCTATAGACAAATGTGAAAAGAGAATTAAGTGAAAAAGAGGATAAGTTTCAGAATAATAATATGTTGAAACACAAGAAAGAAGAAAGATAGTATGGTGATTTAGGAAAGATATGAAAGGAAAATTACGTACCTGTGGAATAGCATAGCCAACAAAAAACAGAGGAACACTTAGGATCTCCAAATATAGCTTGTAATACTACAAAATCAAAAAGAAGTACAATCTTCAGGATCCGTGGACATGAGTAACATCACAAGCAATACCAATATATCTTGATGGTATGAACGAATTAGTGGTCCAATAAACAAAACACAATTTCTGTAAGACGTAAGTAACCGAGGCGGCAAATAAGACTTGTTCAACTCACTCTCATGAGCAACCCGGTCAAGCCCGTAGTTTGACGAACTGTGGATGAGTCAAAAGATATCTGGGAAAAGATAAAAATTTAGATGTATACATATATAATACTTTATGGTAACAATAATACAGAACAGATAAATTCAAATGAGTGACAAGCACAAACTTAATCCCATCGACAGATATTTCAAGTTGCAAGTATTCTAAAACCTGTATGTTGATGTAATGGAAGAGAGCAATTAAAACTGGAAAGACTGGTCCAAAAGAGCCAGCAGGAAGATCACTCAAATTCTGGAACCATAAGGCACCACCCTGCAAAGATATGATAACATCTCAATCACAGAAGCAACCTCAAGGAATATATGGTCTAGCTCCCTATGATGGTCTAATTACAACAACTAAACTAAACATTATGCAAACATAGAGCAGGTCACAAATAAACGTTAAGAGCAGACATCTAACATGTTATAGAAAAGAACATTTCAGCTATGAAGTTACGAAGGAAAAATGTAAGCAATGTAACAAGTCTATTCAATCCTGAAAATTTAGATCTAGCCTACTCTTGTCAACTCAGATTGTAACCATCTAGATTGGCATCCTTTATCAACTGCCACTTGCTAACTTCGATGGTCCAGAAACATAGGTTAGGTCAACCAAAGAAGCACCCACGAGGAAGAGGGGCAGAGAGGAGTCACAAGCTTTCTCGTTTTTCGGACCTTCAAACTTCATAACACTGTTTAGAATATAAGAAAACATACACTAAGAGCCCACCCACCCCCTACTATTCCAAGCTGCTTTCCCTCCTGGTTTCTGTTTCCATATTTGCATCGCACTAAGATAACTGACGCTGACCATTAATACTTCTACCTGCCGATGATAGCTGTTGTCCCATACGATAAAACGAAACTTAAAGTATTGGAGTTGACTCAGCAGAACTGGCATTCGAAAGACAAGAAGCAATGGCATAAACGTATTGAGTAATACGTTCAGAACAAAACCACCAGAGAAAAACTGCTACTGTTACTTTGTGATTATACAAGTCATTATTCTTATGTAGTCTCAACTTACAGAATCAAACCCAGGATGACCATTTAGTGACATCTTCCGGATGCTAGCCATCAGCAAGAAAAAGCACGGGAGCTGAAGATGAAGAAAGCCAAAAGGTACATGAGAACAAATCTGATGCAAACACATAAACTAGTGATCAATTTAATCTCATCCACCACTCTATATGAGCTGCATAAGCTGCATATTAGATCTCAAAATTCCTTCTGTATATTATTTAGGAAAAAGAGAGGAGTTGCAAACAAAACAAAACCACAAAGCGCTTTGCTGGATATAACCTTCTACCTAGTATTACTAACACGGAGTATAGAACATTATCACTATCGAAGATGCTTTTACCTGGACGGATAAGTATGGGAAAACCCACAAAAAGGAGGGGCACCCAATTGCTCGTTTTTCTTTAAGAAAAAGAGAAAACTGGTCAATAGCGCCTCTTAGTGTTGGAGTCTCTGGGATCGGCATAGGCACTGCAAGGAAAATGAACGATAAGATTAACTTTTTAACTTTATGACCACCATTCAAGAATATGCAGAATCAATCACATAGTATACAGCATTATCGATACTAGCTAGAAACATGTCTGGCAATCATTGGTGCCCCCTGTAAACGAGTTTCTTGCAAAATTTGGCAAAATTAACGACGAAGGCAGGTTACAGAAAATTGGCATGACATGAATGACAACGAAAAATTATATCTAATCTACATGAATGAATTGGCATGGCCTTAACTGAAAAAAGAAAAAAAAACGCCTATTTGCTACTCATCCTAGTTTAACAATATGAAAAGAAAAAAACGGAGATCATGCTATTTAGCAGTCAAGATGATAAGTTGTTGTGAAAAATGCTGATCCAGTAATCTACTAAAAATATATAAAAGCAAAAATCACACTTGACTCTGTATAATTACTTGTAGGAACAACTTAGACAAGTGCCACTGAAGCTACATCTAGTAGAAGGTTCTGAATTTGTTCTCAATTCCATGTTCCATAGTTACTAACGATTTTTGATAGACACAAAGATCAAACTAAATAACTAATAGCAGTAGAAAGTAGCTCCTAGAAAATTAACTGAGACAAGAACTAAGAAGAAAAAGGAAGCACTAACACTGAGGTAACAGCTCTGAAATCCTATTCAGTTTCTTGAGTTGCAGTATGAGTAAAGGCAATAATGCTAATCTGACAGCAATAGTGGAAGATGAAATAACCATCCACCAAGGCAACCCTGTAAACTGATGAAACCGGTCGAGAAAATCAACGACGGCGAGGACCGGCAAAGAAGAATCATCGCCACAAGGGATTTCTTGATAACCGATTGGGAATTCTCGTCCAAGCCCGGAAGCGCCGGGTGCAGAAGAGAACAGTCGGCGAAGGTGAGGGTAGAAACACGGCGTTGGAGATGGAGGAGATGGGGAGAGCGACGGAGAGAAGAGGGGATCGGCGTTGAAGGAAGGAGGGTAGGAGAAGAAGAGGAGAGACAGAGAAGATAAACGGTGGCGCGTTGGAGAGAGAGAGGAGGCGCGTAAACAACTCCACACGGCCATTTACAGTGTTTCGCTTAAACCCTTGAGGAGTTTGTTAAAAATGGTTTTAGGGATGTCGGAGTTTAAGATCAAAAACGACAAAGCAATGGTCTGATTAAACTGTAAAAATCAAACATTTTCGACCAAACAGTCGTTATTGCGCACTTCGGTCTGGTAATGGATGTTGGAGTTTAAGATCAAAAGAGACAAAGCAATGGTCTGATTAAACTAAAAAATCAAACATGTTCGACCAAACAGTCGTTATTGCTAGTTGCTACGCACTTCGGTCTGGTAATTTGGCAAATGCAAAATACTTCGGTCTGGTAATTTGGCAAATGCAAATACTTCGGTACGCTTATTTGGCAAATGAAAACAATTCGGTCTGAATATTATTTTCTTTCTTCTATAGTAGAAACAAACTCTCGTATATCAGTTGACCAAGTAAAATAGTCTCATCAGCATTACAAAAATTAATTTAGTTTTAAATTATTTTTAAATCGATAAAGGGAGAAAATATTCAATCACCCTTAGAACATCATAATATTTACTGATCCAACCAGTGATTAGTTCAATATCCATAACCAATTAATTATACTAGATCCGATTTCGGGTCTAAATTTGAATAATCCTATATTCGAATCTCTATCATTTTTGTGAATTTCGTTCCATTAGGTACAATTACGAGGGTATTACGAACAAGGAGTCTTCGATTTTCTAAACTGGTCACAATCTTCAAATTCGCATCAGGTTCGTTCTTCGTTCGTTCTTTGTTCTTCTTCGTTTTTGCCCTTTTACTGTTTCTTATCTTAGGCAGAAGGCTTACGAATGATTCTATAGTATCTGATACCTGGATTTAAGAACGAGGAACTGAAATTAGTATTACCTGCAAAATTTGAGTTCGATTCACTTTGATTGATGTGTCGGGTGATAATTAGATGTGTCTTAACTTGGTAGAAATACTGTAATGGTATCATTCGGAGGAGATAGTGAGTCGCTTCAATTAACGTTGTGGGAGCCATTACGCTTTCCTAATGAGGATGAGGAGCAAACGCATAATGAGCAAACGCGTAATGAGCAAATGCGTAATGATGAGAAAAACCAGCCAATGCAACCGGTGAGTATGTATTTTAGTCCAAATCAGTACAACAAAGCAATAAAGTCAGGTACTCAGTGTTGGATTCACAAAGCAGTGGAGAATCTGGAGTCGGCGTCTCTGGGACTGAGACCCGAGGAGCTAAGATGGTTTAGCGAGCATCCTCAATTCAAACACTTCTGGCATATGGACAAGGCCATGTATTTGGATACAACCCATAAGACTCAGGGGATGTGGATGCTCTTTCTACGCACAGCAAAGACAAACAAAAGGAGAGAGTGTTGGTTTATTGTTAATGGAGTTCTACTTCGGTATTCGCTTAAGGAACATGGACTCATATCTGGATTAGACTGCCATGATTATCCAAATAATTATGAGAAGATGGGAAGTAGTGATTTTAAGGAGAAGTATTTTAAAAAAGGAATTGTCTCTTCACTTGCTGTTGTTAAAGAGAAGCTTGAAAAGATGTGTGGTGGTCCTGATCGCTTAAGAATGTGTGTTTTGTACTTTCTAGCAAGCGTGTTAGGTGGTAAGGCTAAGACTGGAAAGGAAGCTCCCTCGGTAGACACTTTTTTCTTGAGGATTATAGAAGATCTCGATGCTTGTAGAACATTTCCTTGGGGGAGGTATTCATTTGATGCGAATCTCAAGGAAATTGATCATACATTGAGGCATTTCAATGGGGTCATCGAAACTGATTCTTGGACATTTACTAGCTTTGTTCCCTTGGAGTTGCTACCTTTTGAAGCAATACCTTGTCTGAAGGACACATACAGAGAAGAAGCTAAAGGACCAGACATAGGGTGTCCTCAGATGTGTAAGACCAAGTTCAGACCATTCACTCTCAAAGGATTTCCTCTGTCGGACCTCTACGAAACACTCGGTAATACCAAAGATATCCAGAGTATCTTGCAACCATCTGCTGATGAGGAAAATATGTTAGCTGGTATCATGGAAATGTATGAAGACCCAGATTACAGTGATACAATTCCTGATAATTGGAGGACTTGTATAATTGATGATGGGAAGCCGATATTATATGAGCTTGGACGATGAAAAAAACCGAGTTGAACCAGCAAAGAATGCCTCCTCTAAATCTCCGGCGCCGAGTGGGATTGTGGACCAGATTCAAGGGTTGAAGAAGAGTATGGATGAGCAGTTCCTCCAAATGACATACCTCATCGTTGGCATTAATATTAGATTGAAGTTCGTTGAATCTTATGCGAAAGAGGCAATTCCAAGAGAAGGTCTTGGAGAAGAGAAGGAAGGAGAAGAACAAGGTGATGAAGTAGAAGGAGGAGAAGAACAAGGTGATGAAGGAGAATAAGAGAATGAAGAGGGAGTTGAAGAGAATGAAGAAGTGGGAGGTGAGGTGGCAGAGAAGGAAAAGAAGAAGAAGAAGAAGACGGAGCCAGCGCTTGTCAGAACGTATTTGACCAGACGACGAACTGGGATTCAAGTATTATTTAGTACTAATAGGTTTTATTTGGTACTAATATGTAGAACTATAGTATAAATCACATATCTGTGTTACCATGTAGGAACAACCTGGCGTTTCAGTCGAGGAAGGGGAGGTGCAGCATGAGAAGAAGAAGAAAAAAACTAGGATTTAACAGTCCCAGATGTTCCCTTTATCATGCTGTCAATTCGAATTTTTGAATTTTTAACAACTAAACTGCCCGTGGGATCGTGTCGTTTGTGCATTTAAATTTATTTTGAGGTTATTGGTTTGGTTACAGTTATAAGAATCAGTTGAAATTAAATTAGGTTTGAGGATTTCGGTTTGGTATTAATCGGTTTAAAATAATATTGCTCTTTGGTTGTCGGGTAACTGTCTAATCGGTTATTAAATTAGCATTTCTAAATCGACGTGTGTGCTTGGTAGTTGAACCAGTCGTCTATAGAGAAACGCATAATTTTTATCGTGAGTCGACGCAATTAATGCATGCACCACATCTACTTCTTAAATATTACTCCCTTGCCTTCTCATAACACGACACCATCATAGAGAAATAAACCCTAAACTTCCAAAAAAACTCTTCCAAATGGCGTCTATTCCTAACAACCCTCCTTCAGCGGTTGAACCACGTCCCGAGCAATGGATGGGTCGCTACTTGCGCGACCTCCAGCGAAACCTTTTGCCGATATCCTCTGTCGGGCTGGAGGTGGAGGATCTGTACTTGTGGGCAGCGACGGTCACCGGTCCGCCGGAAACTCCATACGAAGGGGGTATCTTCAACCTGCGCATCATGTTCCCGCTGCAGTTCCCCTGGTGGGTGAGGACGATGATAACACCGGATTTTGACCATTTTTATGGATCACTTTAATGTCTTTTACAGGTGTTTTTACTCCATTTTTAAAGGTTTTCAAAGGATTTCTATGTTTCGGATTTAAGACTTTTCAGGTAATTTGGGATAAAGAGGCACAAATTAGAACAAAAGGACTCTTTTGGATAAATGCAGACCGTCAGAACTCTCATGGAGAGACGAAGACCTTCTCACCGTCTGATCACCCTCAAAATTGGACAACTTATAGAAGAATCAACCAGCTTTCAAATGCACTTGGTTTGGAGACATTCCAACGGTTGGATCTCAAGATATTCCATTAGCCCCGGAACCACTCGAAGAGGGCCAGCAAGTCACGCGACCGCGACCACCAGCCCATTCCCGCGGTTACAAGCCTCCCGACCGCGGCCAGCCACCTATTTCCCACGGTCACGTCATTCCCAACCGCGGCCGGCCAACTCCGAACTAAAGCCCATATTTCTGAAGCCCAAAGTCATTCTCAGCCTCAATTTCGGAACCCTAGAGACCATGGAGTATTGAAGACCATAAATACTTGTCATTTAGGTCATTTTTAGACACCCACCCTTCATACTTTACAGAAACCCTTTTCCTTTAGCCGTTTTTATGCGATTTTTGTAGAAGATTGTTCAAGTCCGAGTTCTTCAATAGAGAAGCTTTCTTTCATCTCTTTTCTTTACTGTTTTTGATTACTTTTATTAAAACCAATGATGATGTCGACCTCAGCCATGTCAGAGTAGATCCCGAGTTGGGCTTAGGGTTCCCGAAAGGGGCTCTCATAATCGATTAATACATCTAGGTTTATAGATCTGGGCTTTCAACTTTGTTCTCTGTTTATTCTTGTTCTTATTGCATGTATGCTTGATTGATCACCTAGTATCTGATCTAGATAGTTAGTGTTGCGAAAGTTTTCATTAAGTATCAGCCCTAGAATGAAACAGGCGATTTTTCCGTAGGAGTGGAAACCTACCTGCGGCGAGATCATGAGTATTGATGAGTCTTGTGCAGCTCTTGCGTTCTCTCCCTTCCAGGGCCAGAGTGGAAACCTACTGGTCAGGGTTGCGAGAAAAAGTTGGTTATGATCACGACAGTGACGTAGTCATACCGCCGTACTCTAGCTCTAGAACCCTATATATCGATATCCGTCAATCCCAACCTATCTACCCTAGTGTCAAAACCGATTATGATCCCTGTAGAGTTCCCAAAAGCTCAGCGTTTTTAGCCATAGTTTACAAACCAATCGATTTTTACTTGCTTATTTAGATCTGCATTTCAATTTCTTTAGTTCGATATTTTGCTTGCTTTACTTCCTTTTCATTCGATTATTCTACTTGTTCCTTAAGATAGATTTATTTGCTTTCTTTTGTTTTAGTTTAATCCGTGAAAAACAACCAACCTTTAAAACCAATCTAGTCTAGACATAAAGTTAGAAACCGTAGAAGAATACCAGGCACACAAATCTCTGTGGATTCGATCCCTAAATACTACAACTGATTAGATGTGCACTTGCGGCTTTCATTTGTTTTTGTTAAGGGTAAAACTTGTTCCCTCACGCAGTTGACACGCATCAAGTTTTTGGCGCCGTTGCCGGGGATTTGTTTCGCTGCCTTTTGTTATTTTTCTTGTTTTAACT